TTCTTGATCATATACTATCTCTTTAAATAGTTGAACATCATCCTTTTGTTGTTGTTGTTTTGGTACAGTGACTCAGTGTATTCCTTCCAACTTCTTTTGATAATTTCTGCATTATTCATTTTACCCATAAAATCATTCATTATTACAAGTTGAGGTTTGAATTTTTTCGTCAGTGCTTTCAGCTTGAGAAATGCTAGTGAGTGATCCTCCCTTTTAGTTTTCTAACTCCAGGTATTTTCAAGTTTCATTATAGTACTTGAGTTTGTCTTCTCAACCTGCCCTTTGAAATTTTTTGCTCAGCTCTTTTACTTACTATTTTTCCATTTGCTTTAGCATCTCTACATTGGAAAGCAAGTTCTAAAGTCTCTTCGGACATCCATTTTTGTCTTTTCCTTTTTTTTTTTTTTTTTAACCTCTTAATGACCTCTTGCTTTCTTCCTGTATGATGTTCTTGATGTCTTCCTACTCTTTTGTCATTCGAGTCCAATGCATCAAATCTATTTTTGAGATGATCTCTAAATTCAGGTGGGATATATTCAAGGTCAGATTTTGGCTCTTGTTTTCATTTTCTTCAGCTTCAGCCTGAACTTTCATATGAGCCATTGATGGTCTGTTCCACAATCTGCCCCTGGCCTTGTTTTGGTTGATGATATGAAGCTTTTCCACCATCAATTTCCACAGATGTAGTCAATGTGATTTCTGTGTACTCCATCTGGTACAGTCCATGTGTATAGTTGCCTTTTATGTTGTTTAAAAGAGGTGTTTTCAATGAAGAAGTCAGTGGTCTTGTAAAATTCTATCATGAACTCTCCAGTATACTTTCTATTGCCAAAGCTATATTTTCCAACTATTGATCCTTCCCTTTGTAATTCAATCTCCAGTAAGTATCAATACATCTTGATTGCATGTTTGATCCATTTCAAACTGAAGAAATTGGTAGAAATCTTCAATTTCATCAACACTGGCTTTAGTAGTTGGTGTATAAATTTGGAATAATAATTGTACTAATTGGTCTTCCATGTAGGAATATGGACATTATCCTATCACAAACAGGATTATACTTCAAGATAGGTCTTGAAATCTTCATTTTGTTGATTAATGCAATGCAATTCCTCTTCATTTTGTTATTCACAACATAGTATACCATATAACTGTCAGGTTCAAAATTGACCATACCAGTTCACTGTAGCTCACTAATGCCTAGGATATTGATGTTTTTGCATTCCAATTCATTTTTGACAACTTCCAATTTTCCTAGATTCAAACTTCATAATTCCATATTCCAATTATTATTGGATATTTACAGCCATTTCTCCTCACTTTGAGTTGTGCCCCATCAGCAAATGAAAGTCCCGAAAGCTTTACTCAATCTAAATCATCACAGTCAACTCTACTTTGAGTAGGCAGCTCTTCCCCAGTCGTATTCTGAGTGCCTTCCAGCCTGAGGGGCTCATTTTCTAGCACTGACAATATTCTGGTGCTCTTCATCATGTTTCAATATTCAATATTCTGATGTATATGACAGTGTTCCACTGCTATTCATAAGGTTTTCACTGGCTAAACATTCAGAAGCAGTCAGCCTCTCCTTCCTAATCTGTCTTCATCTGGAAGATCAGCTGACACCTGTCCACTGTGGGTGTACTCTGTTGTTGTTTTTATGTGCCGTGGAGTCAGTTCTGACTCATAGTGACCCTGTACACAGTTTCTGAAGCTGTAAATCTTTACGGGAGCAGAAAGCCTCATCTTTCTCCCATGGAACAGCTGGTAGTTTCAAACTGCTG